ACCTTTACTGTATTTAGAACCATATACAGATGCCACTTGCTACTGCTTTATTTTTTCACTATTTCTGCAGACACCAAATTGTGTGTGCAGAAAAAAGTCACGTACACCCAGTATCTATTCAGCTCCCCCACAAATAGTAATGCTAATTAATATAATGAACAGTGATAGCAACTGAATTAAGTCTGTGCTCCTGGAAATAATTCTACCCATTTTCTCCTTGAAGGGTCCCAAAGGGGCTGGCATCAGGTTTTTAGGAGACTGAAAACTGCTCCTTAATTATTTCTGCTTACACAGTCATCCTGCACTGGCTTAATGCAGCTTCCAACCCCACTCCCAACTCCACAGCACCCAAGACTTGGAAGAATACGGTGCTGCAAAATGACATTTCAGAACGATTTAAACAAGGTAACAGTCCAGAAGTTCAGCTCAGAATTCTGGGAGCTATTCAAGCCTTTTCAAGGCGGTAAATAGGGTTGACTTAGCAACTCGGCGGTGCAAAGCCTCCTCCAAAGGCTCCGTGTTCCGGTAGAAGAGAATCCACCTGCTCCCTGAGTTGATCTTCCTTTCTTTCTTTGGTCTCCCTGCTTCATTATTATTCTGCAATGCGCTGCGATCCCCACGCGTGTCCAGCTTTCAGCCCTCAGTTGGCCACTATACGGCGCGGGCGGGAGGGGACCGACCCCTCGGCGACCGAGATGACCCTGTGCTGTTCCTTTTTTTCTGTCCCTCCCCCTAGGGTCCCAATAAGCCCTTTTGGCTCTTGAACCTGGAACTGCGCTACTGCTTGCCTTTCCCTCGCCGAGGAGCTGGGCAGCAGAGGCGAGAGAACGTAGAGGAGCAGCTGTCACCATTATTGATTCCATGAAGAGTTTTGAACTCCCGGAGTGCCCGTTAGAGGGGAAATTGTTTGAGGGAGGACTGAGCTGCGGTCAGTTTGGGGAAAGGGCGTTTTCTCGGCACCTGCAGGGGAACACGACTCAGCAGTGGTACCCGCACCATCCACCATCTAGAGTCCTGGGCACGCAAACGCTGTTTCTCGCCACACGTTTCCTCCTCGGACACGCACGCGCGCACACACACATACACACTCACACACACTCAAAAGCACACTCTCTCCGAGCCCCCCCCTGCGCCCACCCCCGCTTCCCAAAGGCTCCTCCGTGTCAATCCATGCGGACCTCATCCTCCTCCCAGCAATGCACACACACACACACACACACACACACACACACACACGCACACACACACACAGGAACCCACACACTCACACACACAAGCACAGGCACGCACACTCCACAGGCCAAGTCAGGCATAGCCAGGCACTCAATTTAGACCGCGGGTGGTCCGTGGAAATTTCAGGAGGTCTGGCCTTCTAGAAGAAATCAATATTCTCAGAGGAAACAGATGAAGGGAGGCACACCCGTCCAAACTGCAGCGGGAGAGGGACCCCGCACTCAAACACAAAGGTTGCCTCCCAGCAGGTGTCTCACTCCTGCTCACCCCAAAGGAAGGGGGCTAAGCTCAAGGATGGTGGTGATGATGGTGGATGTTTTAATTTTTTTTGCTTGCCGTTTTTACTGTTTTGTAAAGACATTAGCCCATTCTAATCCCCTTTGAAAATACCCCTCAAGAAACGACATGTATTTTCCTGACCTGTCAGGTCAGATGGTCGCTTTGAGGGCTGGGAGGGAGGGCACTCGAGGGCGGCAGAGACCTCCAGGCACGGCCATCCGGCATCGGTAAAGGTGCTAATGAGAGCAGGGACCACGCGACTCTTTAGAGTAGTAATTAGCTGGAGGAGAGGGCTTGAGCACCACCCTCTTCCAAAAGAGCTCTGTGGCCGGAGTCCCAGAGCACGTGGATCCTTCTCGAAGTACAGGGTCCTGCTAGAAGCCCCGGAAGCACGCTCTGGTACCGGTGAGGGGCGCGGGACCCTGGCTCCCACCTGCTGTCGACCGAGGTCAGTGTTTTCTGTGCCTAAGCTGCGGGGTTGGTGTGCTCCCCCGGGATCTCCGAGAAGGAGTGTGGAAAGGCACCCCCGAGTGTCTGTTTACGTGGGCGGGACATTTAAGCAGGATTTGGAAATTCACAGTTTCCATGGGTGAAACCTAAACAGACATGCTGCAGCTGTAGGCTGCATTTCAGAAACCTCTACCCGTGTGTGTGTGTGTGTGTGTGTGTGTGTGTGTGTGTGTGTTCAGCTTGAAATGATATGCATCAGGTCTAAGCAGCCCCCACTCCACCACCCCACTCCCCAGTTTGGGGCTCTCTGCGCCTTTTGTATCAGCTGATGACAAACAAGATAAAATGCCAAGCAAAGCTCGGCTCCTTTACAACCCCTCTGGAGCGGAGCGGTTCCGGCCTAACCCCGAAGGCCACTTTGCCTTCTGCTCTGAGGCGTTTCCTCCCACTGAGCCTCTTTGTCATGGACTGCTGTTGCAGGCTGAGCTGAGACGGTAGAGGGACGGAGAGCGTGGGCAGAAGGTGGCCGATTGTGAGACCCGGACTTCCTGAACCTCCACACTAGCCTACATTAGCACCTAAAAAGCCCTTAAAATGACTCCCCATTTTGAGCTTCCTCGTGGGCCTGGGATTCCAGAAGAAAGTGTGCGAGACAGCAGGCATAGACACTGGGAAAACAACATGTGAGCCATTGCAGCAATCTAAGTTTTAGGGGAGGCATGAGACTTGAGTGAAATTAAAATAAGAAGGGGAAGGAGAAACAATACCAACTGTCTAAACTGTGGCATTTCCCTGCTTATAGGGAGCAGGTCAAAAGCGTCAGCCAATGTAACTTTGTTTCTTAGAATTTGAGGCCAGCGTTCTAAGTTGTAAAATATAGGAGCTGTCTTCCAAGGGGCAAGTGAGAATGAGGAACCTTATTACTATTTAAAAACATTTTTTTAGAACTGTCTGTAGAAAAATTGATTTTGGACGGTACCAAAGCAGAGTGTGACACACTACTTCTTCCCAATGTCCCCCAAACTGGGATATACTCAGTGAAGACCCATTATTTCAGTCCAAAGTCCGGGAGCTGTGAGTAGAAGAGCGGGGTCCCGTTTCCCATTGCCACTCGGCGCAAATAACGCTCAGTTCCTTTCTATCCGCGCGTCTTTTTCTGAACATACGGTAGGTGCGGGCAGGCTGCCTGTAATCCCGGGCGGCGCGGCTCCGTGAGTCAGGCCGGCTGGCTTCGGAGACTCCCTCCCCCACCTGCCCCTCGAATGTGTTTTGGCTCAACAGGTAACACACGAAAACTCGCACTTAACCCCCGGTCATCCTCTACCAGGAACCACCCAATTCCCCCGCACCTCCCCAGGAGCTGTGGCGGTCTCCCTGCGCCTCCTACCCCCGAGCGCGGAGCGCTTCCAGCAGGAAGCCCCAGGGCCGCCCGTTATCCCCCGACTCCCATGGCAGGCGGACTCCGCACGAATGTGAGGCTTCGCGCGCGGCGAGCCCGCGACGGAGGTGCAAACCCCTTGGAAGCAGCCCGAGTCGCATTTTGGGCTCTAGGAAGTGCAGTTACGCAGCGTAGGACAAGCGTTTTCCTGTAGAGCTGCGCTGAGGCTCCAGGAAAAAAAAAATCAAGCTTTAAGAAGCAGGGTGGGATTGCAAGACAGTTGCTGCTATAGACACTACGGGCGACTTTTTGGCATTTCTGGGTGTAAATTAAAATTCGAGGCATGCCACTCATCGTTGGTCCTAATAGACGGAGAGGTAATCCCTCCAGCTCCCTCCACCCAAAACATGAATTATCATTTCCACTGAATGCAAATGGGCCGCCTTCTGTGGGGGGACAGCCAGCTGCAAGCTGGACAATAAACTGTTTCATGCAGACGCGGCCCGATTGCGGTTCAGAGAGTCACTCCTTTACACAGGAAGAAACATCCAGTTTGTGTTGACAGCCGTGGCGCGCCAGGGCCAAAACACCCCCATCGCCCACCCCCCGACACCCAGACACCGGGATGGGAAACTAGTTTCACTGAAAATGACATCCATCGCGTCTCTGCGAGCTGCCATGAGTATGGGGAGGTGATTGTTCAAAAATGATGGCATGAGTCATAAACCTCCTGAGTATTCTTTGCAGCAATTAATGGGCAGCGGCGTGCAGAAGTTGTGGAACAGAGCTGGGGATCTATTTTCTCCCGAGGACAGCTCTCCTTCTGATGATCCTGTCTGTCCCTTGCTTTCCTGCTTAGAAATAAATTTTACATCCCTCCTCCACCCCCCTTGTCTGTGCATGTGACACTCATTCTACCTGTCTGAACGTTAAGACTTGCTGGGGATTTTCTTTCTGGTCGTCAGCTAATGACTTTCTTCCTATCTTCATTCATCCCCAAAGGTGGATCGTTACACTTCATGGCATCTCAAACCATTTTAAAGCCTCATTTTAAGCCAAACCTCTACCACAGGACCTAGGGACGCTCCCCTATCATTTATCAATGCAAAAGAACCCATGTAGAAATAATTCACATGCAGACATTTATGTTGGGGGGATGCTTGGAAGACCCCTGTGCCCTTATGCATTTAAAATCAGCCCATTTCTGGCATGTCGGTAACTTTCCTACCTGAAAGGGTAAAGAAAAAAAGCATTTACACGAGTGTGCTTGATATAAATATTCCAGCCAAAGCATCAAACCTCACTGGTTTGACTAGAAATCAAGGTAATCCTCACAACCAAGGAAAGTCTTGCAGAAGAATTCTGCCTTGGGTATCCACTAGTTAGAGGCTATAGGAATCAACTCACGTATTCGTTTGAGCATACTGCAAGAATATTTATTGAGCACAAGCTCAATCACTGCATTGAACGCCAAATCTGGCAAGCAAAATGCATTTCCTATCTGAGCCGGAGGGAAAAGAGCTGTGAATCAACTCCTTTTTCAGTATTATTATGATTATTTTATAGGTGCGAATTGCAAAGTAAGCTACCAGCCTGTCTTCTGGCGACAAGTCAGCTCACCTCCATCCTAAGCAGAGGCGACCCCCGAAAGCAGACCTACCTTTCACACAAGACACCGTCAATAAAAAGACGAGGTTCCAAAATGTAAATCCACTTTTAATTCCCATTTTCTTCATCAGGATGAAGTCAAGGCGGCCACATTTAGCGCATTTTCTTGTGCCAGGCTCCCGGGGTTTGGATTCCTTTGCTCGGCTTTCCCTTTTGCGGATCCCTTTCATATTATTCGCGAGCTCCTAATTCCTTCTCCTCAGCCCGGCGCCGTGGAGCTGTTGCTGTTTTCGGTGCGCGGTCACAGCTCGGAGTGAATGGTGTTTCTGGGATACCACAGCAACCTTGACGAGGACTCAACCATCTCTCCAACGGGGGCACAAAGTCTCCGCTACTCTGCTTTCTGTCTTTTCTTGTGCGTATTTTCCCCTCCACCAAAATCTACCTCAATTCTGGCTCGTTATAGCAACCACCAGAAACCACTAGTAAGCCTCTTAAAGCTTAGCTCTGCTCTCTGACAAACTCCCCACAATATCTGAAATGAAGGGGCTTTTTTTTTTGTCCCCGAATAGACCAGTTCTGCCTGTAAAAGCAGCCCAAGGAATATTATGTTAGGGAGCTCTCCATTGCAGCCTGTGAATACAGAAACATGTTGAAGGAATATTTTAATCGGATGCTGCGTGTTGCTTTGGGGGAAACTGTGATGATAATGAATCGGGTTCCATCGATGCCCACGTCGTTATAACGGGACATGTGTTACTACTGTAGTTGCAGTATATTTCAGGCAGGCGTCACGCATTTATTATCCTGTGATTTAATTGGAAAAGGAGGTCACAGAGAAGAATATATTTGCACACATTCATTTACATATTCAAATACCAACGTGTGAACCTATACATTTTTTAAAATGATTTGGTAAATCATTTCATCCGTGACCAAGGCGGGGATGAGGTGGGGAGGAAGCATTTGCCCCAATAGTTCAACCTTTCAGACTCCTTACCCTCTTTTCAGCTGATGCGTGCCACAGTTAAACTACTTTATCTGTGCTAGTTATCTAGAGCAGGCCCATTTGTCTTAACTTTGAATCGGTCCCAAATATGTAAATAGTAGGTTTCTTTCAAAACGGAAAATATATGTATCTATATACCTGGACTTGGAGACCCACGCACAGCTCAAGGGTTAACATTGTACAAGGAAAGAGTTCTTGCGCCATCTACTGGCCTTTCTCATCTAAAAGGGACCTTGAGTCGCCTCATCCAAGGTGTAGGAGAGCTTCGTCCGGAGACCAGCGTGTTTTGCATGGTTTGTCATTTACCTGATCTTTGTGGGCTAGTTCTGGCTCAGATCTCACAACCCGCCAGCTCCTAGACAAGACGCAGTATTGGTGATCTGACCTTTCTCGGGAATCTGATCCCATCTCAAGAGTGGGCAAGGCTGAAGCGTTGATTCGGAAATAGATAATTGCAAGGGTTTCTGGCTCCATTTGCTTGCGGAAGGCTATCACGGATTAGCATCCAGCTGATGGGCTAGGTCCAGAGGACTGCCCGATTTGAGTTTGTAGCTTTCCACATTGTGAACAAATATTGGCCCCCATCCCGGGCAGCGTACGATTACCTTGGTCAGCTTTTGTCTCTGGGCTCGTCGTGGAGCTGTCGGCTCAGGGGAGCAAAGTGGCTGTTTGCGGAGCAGTTCTGCTCTGGGAAGTGGGCGCACTGAGAGCGTCTATGGGCGTGCTTTGTGAGCGGGTGAGTGGGTTCAGTCTACAGGCTTAGGGAGGAATCTTAGCTCTCTGGGTACATGCCATTTTGTGGGGGTCTGTGATTCTCCCAGGGAGTGTGTGTGTGTGTGTGTACGAGCACTGTAGTGCAAGGTAAGAGTGCATGTTTATGGAACATGACGGAAGGTGTGTTTTTTCTATGCGTGGGTGTTTCCCCGAGTGTTTTTGCGCAGTATGTATGTGTGTTCATATGTGTATATTCACACGTGTGTGTGTGTGTGTGTGTGTGTGTGTGTGTGTTAGGGATTTCTCTACCGGATAGAGAGCTTTAGCAGTAGGCAAAAGTCGTAGACAACCAACTGACCTCATTAAATTTGAGGAGGAGCCTTAAGGGCGGTGTGGCAGAATACTGTTCCTCCTTCCAGTGTTTTCTATCATCGTCCAAATATGCAGATTTGAAGGGTAGTGGCTGACATGGTTGGACTCGATCAAGACTGGAAGAATCGGTAGTAAAAACGTCATCAGCCTGCTCAGCCACCTTGCTGGCCGCGCTGGCATTGATTTCAGTCAGGATGTCAGGGCGCATACCTGCTGCTATTGCTTCAGTCGACAGAACAAGAAGTTATATGCAAACTGGTTCTTGGCCTTTACGAGAACACTGATAAAAGCCTCCTTACCAAGTGTATCCAGGTTAATCACCGTAACTGAATTTACTCATTAGAAGAAAACAAAACTATTAGTGTATGTAATCTAATTGAAGGCATGGCTATATATCCAGACAGGAGGACATTAAACCAAAAAATGTTCTCAAAGTCAGGAATTCTTTTACAGGAATTGCTGATCAAAAATAAACTTTGACTATAATATCATCATGACTACTACTAAGATACCAATTACTGATATTTATTTTCAAACATGCAAGTCTTATAACTCAATTACCTTTCCCTAAATGAATCCTACCTATCATTTCAGTGTGAAGTTCTTAAAAGATTTCTCTGGTAGCTCATGATATGTTGACCAATACTGTAGCTTCTAGTTTCTATGGCTCATAATAAATCACAAACCATTTTTTACCCTCATCTTCCAGCTCCTGAGACAAGATGGAAAATCGTAGCTGACAGATGGGAAAAATTAAGGCATGGGGAAATGAACTGGTTTATCCAAGATCCTCGTCAAGAGCGCTGACATTTTTTTTGTCCATTATATTTAGTGCTGGATCACCCTTGTCTTTCATGCTAAGCAGCCTCATCTTCAAAGGAGTATTTCCAAAGGTATTCCAGAAATATAGTATGAGCCAAAATCCAGGATGAGAAATCCCTTAATTTCCCAGAAAGAAAAATACAATGTTTAAATTTAGGAGGAAAATATCATCTATCTTAGTTGAGCTGTAGGAAAGCAACACAGTTGTACATAGATTTATTTAAGACTATAAGAAAGAGAAGATTTTTTAAAAAGCTAGCAGAGTAGCAAATATTAAGGGCTTACTGTATGCCTAACATTCGCTTATATTTACATGGCATGTCCTATTCAAGTTCATTAAAACTTGCTGAGACAAGTGCACAATTGCCCTCATTTTATAGGTGAAGGGATTGGTCCACAAAGAAGTTAACTATCCTGCCTTGCCTGAGGCGGCATATCTAAGGAAATATGAACCTATGAGGTGAAATTTCTGAGTTGATGTGTTTGCCCAGTGTACTGCCCTTTTGCTAGTGCCTAAAAATGTTTGTTTTGAAATAGTCGAATAATGAAAAAATATATAGTAAATTTATAGTAAATTTACATGTGTAATCACAGAAATGAAAAGATTTATTAGATCATTTAAAGATGATAAATTAAAAAATATATATGTGTACACATATAAAGATTTTTTTTCCTTTTTATTCTTATCAGTTTCTAAAAGCCACCCCCTTCTTCCCTCTTTTTTTAACTTCTTGCAGACTATTGATTTTCTCACATACAGGTCAAAGAAAAAAGTGACTTGCAAGGACCATCAAGCCAATCACAATGATTAAGTGCCTTTGAGAACTTCTAAAAAGAGTTTAGATCAGAAATGCACAAGTTCCTTAACTGGAAGTACCAGATTTCTATTCCCTTTTAGTTCCTGCCCTCCAAATACCTACGGAATAAAATTAAGTTTGCTCTTAAAACAGGATTTAGTTGAAACTTACAAGAGAAACTAGGCATCTTTTCAAAAATTTCTTCACATTAAGCCAGAACCTTAATATGTATTGACTCTATTTTTGCATCACAGGGGCAATCACACAAAAATGATCAAAAGATAATGACCACACTGAGATACAAATGTAAAGACTTGGGAAAACATTATCTTTAATTTTGAAAAGAAATTTATATGCCTTGGACAATTATGAACTCAAGATTATTTTTTTACCATCCATGTCACAGATAATACACATTTGTGTGAGAATTATTGTCCAGATGCAGCATTTATTTTGTTATAGAAATATTCCTGCCTGTTAGAGTTGAAACTCCACTGATTGTAGAGATACACTTTTTAATTGAAAGGCTCAAATTTAAATCTGTGGGTCTGTGGGAAAAAAAATTAGTTGGAGTAAAAAAAGAAACGGTGATTTACAAATGAACAAGGCTGTCATTTTCCTGTTTGTCTGCAGTTTTTATATAGCATTTGTTGCCAGGAGAATAGGAGAAAAAGAGAAACTGATTTTCTTATTTTTCTATAAATGTCCAGTCTTGGATCCATCATGTCTGACCTCTTCAACTCCTAGGAAAGAAAATATTTTAATTGTTGCCTCTAGAATAATGCAGGAATTCTAATTCAAGTCTATACATTTCCCAATTGGCAATAGTCTTTATTTGGCTGAGAGAAAAGAAAGAGATCTAATATTCACAATAAAATAACTTTTGTTTAATCAATCATATTTAAGAAGATAAATTATCAGGTGGATAAAAGAATCTGTCTTGCTGTTAATCAGGAAGCATTGCTGAGAAGTGGAGATGAGGCTCTTGAAAGTATCACTAAATGTGCTTGTTAGGCATTCATTCCTCTTAAGTACTGACTCCTTTTTCAATTACATTAATAATGAGGCTTAATAGGCATTTCAGGATTTTTAAACTTTAACCACATTAAGAAGGTCAGAGACTGAAGTTTCTATGTCACATAAGGGTGAAAATAGCATATTTTAAATAATGAGAGAACAGAAAAAACCTTAAGATTTAGAAGGCAGTATATATTGCTGTATCTATACAAATAAACTGTACTTTGACTCCAAAAACCCTTGTTTTTGACATGAGCCACATACAAAATAAGTTTAGTATATTAACATTCAAATTTTCTTAACTGGTGACTTCCTGATTATAGACAATATAACATATAACATATAGATAATTAAATGTAAGTAATATGAGCCCATTTTCCTGAAAGAATAGAACCATGGTAAATAGTTGGGGGACATGTGGTCCTAAAAGAAAAAAAGATAAGAAATGAGAGAATCTTTAAAGACCTTTCTGTTTGTCTTGAGGTGTATTTCACTCTCCTGCTAACCCTGGGCTTTATACCACTTAAATTTGTCACTGAGTAGAGGAATAGAAATAAGTTAAGCAAAGCCAGCTTTGCTGAACAATCAGGATAATCCAGGTCTCTTCTTTTCATAAAGAAATACACTTGTTTTGCCAAAAGGATCTGAATAAATCTCAATTCCCAGTGTAGCATATCTTTTTATCATCATTTCTTTAACTCTAATTTAGTTATATGGTATCAGC